AAGGGAGATGGAGCCCGCCCTGCTAACAGCTCTGACCAGGTTAAACGAGTAACAAGAGGGGTATTTTGAAAAAAAAAACAATTCTTGGTTGTTTTGTTTTGAATTCAAGTCATGTATAAGGTAGTAACCCCGTTTTAAAATGGTCCCAACTAAAAAGTATTATGAAAATAACCGGAAGGGATCTTTGCCTTTCAAAATAAAATGCTAAAACTTAATCTGAAGTCTAAGGGGCATCTTTTTAAGAAGCCCCTAGAAGAGCCGTGACTCATTTGTGGAAGGAAGGCAGGCAGGCAATTTCAAACTTGAAACTTACCTTGCTATCCCTGGTATTTGAAGAGTAATCCACAGTTCCTCTTTAAAAACACATAACCTAATTGGGTTACTAACATAGCATTTCCTCTATGATACATGTAATCATTCTAAATATATATTAAAAAAGACTTACATCTATTAGAGGGACCATGCAGTTCTGCATGTTTAAAACAGACATCGTATTTCACAATTTGACTACACTACAGGAAGATCTATGGGAAAATGAAGTTGCACAAAAGTATTGCACAAAAACCCACAAAAAACCTAACTTTTGACACAGATATGACCAGAGTTTCTGGTCATATGCATATGAAGGGCATTTAAAAGAAGCTGGTTTTAGACCAAAAGTCACGCCTAACCATTAACGAAATAAAACTATTTGTCATTTTAATAAAAAAACCCCACCAAACATGGACGTACAGCTGTACCAGACTATTCTCTATTTATACTATAGGTATCACTTTGATCTATGATGAAATGCCTATTAGCAATACCTTACACTGCATGGCTGTGTACTAACTTGTAAGTCTGCATGTATGACATCTGATGTTCCTACACAGGAAAACATATAGAATATGAAAAAGTGTGACCCTATTGTAATATAAAAGCCAACAGCTTCCAGTTGTAAGTGTATCCCCTTTCTAAAAAGTACTCCTGCAAGTAACTATCTAGCAACTGCATTTAGTAAAGGCATGAAAGGTCTAATGCTTCCCTCCCAGTAATAGGAAAGCAGTGGTAGTAAAAAATAAGTATTTAATAAGAAACTAAACTTAGTTTGGGGCCTTCCCCTGCCCACATTTAAAGCCACAATCACCTAGCTAGATGGTTATTTTTAGTGCAGGCTCCTGTTTAAAGAGAAGGGAGGAAGGAAACACCTAAAATTAGAAAGACCAGATCAGTATGTGAAGAAGTTAAATATGCTAAGAACAAAAAAAAGTCTCTTATCAAGTTAATGGTAATATAAAAATACACCATTCTTGGTAATGGATCTTACTTTTTCATGGTTTCCCATTTCTTTTCAGTGCATACTGATGAAAACAATTTAAGTTTTATATTTTGTACTCACATATTCCAAATAACACTGAATAGCAGTTACACAGAGTAATTATCAGGAGACTTAAGGGCATGTGTTACGTTAAGGTGTGAAGCCTTGTTCCACAGTAAAGTCCAGATCAAAGACTAGTATTATCCAGTTCTGTAGTACAAATATTTATATACTTGTACATAAGTATAGTAATGTACAAGTTTATACACTGAACATTATACATGTAAAACTGTATTTTAAAAAATGATATTCCCCTCCCCCCCCCCATGCACTATGTGTAACTTTTGAAGTACATTTCCATCACATTCATGCTATGGCATGCTGCACTGAATGCCCAGTGGCAACATACGGACTTTGCTAATGGATCTCATTCTCACTATACTCTTACTCTGTGCATTCACGAACATAACACACATCATGTTGAAGGTGAATTGCATATTCAGACAGCAAAATGTTGTAATGTTGGCAAAAAAGGCTTTTTCTAGCCCAAATTTCCCCAGTTTATCTTGAAATAATTGTTACTGTGTGTTGAAAGAAAAACAGCTAACAAAGGAAAGTTATTCTCTATATTAAGAACCTCTCAGCAGTATGTAATTTGTGTTCTAGCCCCCAGCATCACAGACACAAAATATATTGTTATCACTGAGAAGTAAAAACATTAATTTGAGTAAGAGGTAAACACTAGAAATGACTTGATAAAGCAACATTTTGTGTTCTGAAAGAGGACAATTTGTTGAAGAACTTGCATAAGACAAGCCAGAGATGGTATAGCGAACATTCCTTCCTCCTTCCACTACTGAGGAAAACCTCAACTTCCTCAAAATTATTTTTTTTTTAATGTGTCACAAGCACTTCTAAATAGCGGTCTTTCAGTACCTCAAGGGGGCCTACAAGAAAGATGGGGAGAGGCTGTTCAGGAGGGCCTGTTGTGATAGGACAAGGGGTAATGGTTTTAAAATAGAGGGAGGTAGATTCAGGTTGGATATTAGGAAAAAATTTTTTTACCATGAGAGTTGTAGAACAACAGGTTGCCCAGAGAGGTGGTGGATGCTCCATCCCTGGAGACGTTCAAGGCCAGGTTGGATGAGGCCCTGAGCAACCTGATCTAGTTGGAGATATCCCTGTTCCTTGCAGGGGGGTTGGACTAGATGACCTTTGAAGGTCCCTTCCAGCCCTAATCATTCTATGATTCTATGATTCTAAATACTTATTTAACTGGATATTTAACACTCCAGCTTAAGTTTTAGATGTCATCCTCACCCAGACACCTTCAGTCTCCTTAGGAAGAGTCCAATGTATAAATAATATAATTGCTGAATATACAGCTTTAGTTTGGGGCAGAAAAAATTAAGCTGAAAAATAAGCTTCAGTGAAAGCTTGAGCTTTCACTGAGGATTCTTCCGTTTGTCACACAGTGGCATTACAAAGCATTTGTCTTGTTTAAGTACTACTAATAACAGCGACAATGCCGTATTAGCAGGACAAAAAGCACTCACGAAGTTCACCCTCCCTCTTCTCTGTTTTTACCACAGAGAGCAAGTTTTGAATTTATTTAGAATTTGTAGAATTTTTGGTAAATGCTGATGTAAAACTGTATGGGGGGAAAGGGGAAGTAATTTCTTAGGGTAACATCAAGTTGCAGGGAAAAAAAAGAGGAAGGTTGCAGCAAGTAAGTGTGTAAAACAAAACATTCTCACACAAACTCGAGTATAACATAAAAGTAACATCTGAGCATTACACTTCAAGTTAAAAATTTTGTGGTGTGTAGTATTACAGGGATAAGAACTAACTTGTTTGGATCACCTCTGCATTTGCAGGCTTCTAGTCACCTGACAAAGCAGGAGGTACTTTTAAAACACCCCTCCCCCTTCAAATTTGTGAACACTTGTTGATCCAGGAAGCAGTGTTAAAAATAATTGCATGCTGCACAAGACTCAAAAGAATGTCAGCCCTTAAATCAAATATATACATTTTTAATATCTGAAATATTTACATGGTGGAACCTTTACACGATCCCGTTTGTTAAGAACAGTGTTTTCAAGTGTCCTCTCCAGATACAAAGAACTAGTAACTCAAGGTCACAGTTACGTTTTCTGAACAGGTCAACCTGTATCCTTCAGTTAAATACAATACAGAGATACTGGAACACCTTTACTTAATTTGTTTGCTATTAAGAATTGTGTTTTAAAATGTTTTTGAGACAGTTTGCTCCCTGGAACACAGTCCTCCTGCAATCAAAACAGCTCATAGCACATTATCAATTTGTCTTCTTACCCAGGTATGAGATAAAAAATGCAGTTTACAGTACATCTCATCGTTTATACCACATCAGCCTATTTATAAAAACCCATACAAACAAGGCAGGAAAATATCACCCTTTTTTTGTGGACAGTAGACTGCTTACAGTAGAAAACAAAAGTCGGCTAGTTTAACAGTATGGATAAAAACAAGAGTTTGGCTTGCTTTGAAAACTTACGGTTTAGTTTGTGTCAACTGCTATGGTCAGTTACATCCAAACAGGTATTTTTTTCCTAAATACTAAAAAAAAAATGTTTTAAAAATAATTTATTTTTAAAAAAATCCATCTGATTATTTTGGAGACAGAAGGGATAATAGGGAAGGGCTAAAATGAAAGTGAGCGGAAGATATCCTAGGTTTTTTTTTTAAAAAAAATAAATCATTAAATAGCACTTACTGAATTGAGGTCCTGCTCTTGTTTTAACTGAGCAAAGAATAAAAAAAAACTTCCTGCAATTTGCACTTTCTCAGAAAGAAGCAGAGCATCTGCAAGAGATTAAGTTTCCAGCTTCACTGGTAATTCTACATGGGCAACAAAGTACCAAGACTACTGCTGGTTCACATCAGAATGAAAAGTCTGAGGGAACTCCTTTTCCAGAGTCAGATGAGGGGACCAAATGAACACACAAAGCTGTTCTGTGAAAGCAGCTCAAGCCGCTTCTTCCTAAATTGTACACTGATCATTCCTTAAATAAAGAGGGCAAGTATGCAAAAAAAAAAAAAAGCACTGATAAATTTGCAGTAAAATCATTTGTCTTCACTTGTAACTGATACATTCCACATTAAGTGCAAATGTTTTGCAAAACAGGGGCTGCTTTTTTTTTTTCCTTCCTTAATATTTACAAGAATCAGAGTAACATAACAAAATTACCAGAGAGCATGTACAGTAGCTGCAGCTTATAAAACATACCGGTAATTGTACCTTGTGACTTATAAAGAGAACCAATGCAGGATTCAGATAACTAGCTGAGAAGGGTAAGGGGGCCTCAGAGCAGAGGACCAAAAAAAATTCACATTTTCTACATAAAAAAATACAGGTCTCAAGTCTCTGAGAACAGAGAAAATTCAAAGTCTTTGAATGATGGGGGGAAAAAAAGCGCCCAAAATTGAAATGGAACCCTAGAAGCAAGGAGAGTGCTTTATTTCACTAGACCAATCTTCTTCGCTTCTGTCTCGTATATCAACAACCTCCACATTTTGACTATGAAAACTTCAGCTTCTTCATCTAGTACCTGTAAGAAATAAATATTTTACAGATTATTTTTTAGGTTATCCATTCCAGTTATAAAGACTAATTCTAGGCACATCAGAACTACGAAGTGGAGGCAGTGTAATCCAAGTTAAGCCTTTGAAGGAGGATAAATCTTCAGTGAATTTGTCTGTCCTGCATTATCACCTGACTTGACTAGGCTCCAATTACATATTTGTGTAATGCTGCTGTTGAGCACTAGAAGTTAAAAGTATCAGTCCTAGTCTCCAAAGGTGGCTTGGGAAGAGGCAGAGAAATGGCAGGCTTGGGAAGAATGTAAGAGCAGAACATACACACGTGGTATTTTTGCTTAATTCTCTCCTAGTCTCTCCTCATTTTCAGCTTGGAACTTCCTTGGATATTTAAGTAATCCCTCAATGGATCTCTCTTCCTTGAACTTACTATCCAGGCTTTTCTTGAATCCATGTAAACTTTTAGCATGCACAACATCTGTCACTAAGTTCCCCAGGTCACTTATTAATCACACCAAGAACAACCTACTGACTTCCACTATGAATCTAGTCCCTATCAACTTTGCCTCCAAGTTTCCTTATTGGAAGAGAGTGAACTATTAGTTTTTATTCACCTTTCAGTATAAGAAAACATGGTGAAACAGTAGCATTATAAAGTTTCTATCTTCCAATACCAGGCAAAACGAGCTTTTACTCTTCTAGAAGAAAATCACCTTTTGCTCATTAATTAGGAACAGACCCGACTAAACCAGTAATTATAAAAATCTTGTTACAACAGTGAGAAGGATTAAAAGTTTATATTTCTGATACAGTTTTGTTATTGTTGATTCTTACCTCTACTGTTGTGGACAGAATCTTTGTTCCACATTTCTGAATACTGAGGAATTCTGAGCAGGGATCAGTAATTGCTACCTAGATGCTATAAGTGCGCAATCATGCCTGTGTTTAATCAAAACAGCTTTCATATCTAATGCATGTTTTCCGTGTACATTCTATGAATGCTAAATATATCTGTTACAGACTCCTACTATTTTGCAGAATTGACTATTGGCTTCAGTATAACATAGAAGGTGTATCAGTTACACAATTTCTGCTTACCATGGCAACATCATCCAGTATGCTCTGTGGTGAGCTGTGAGCCATAACCTGAAAGGAACAAATGCTGTTAGACTGAAAACTGAAGAGTAAATGATATAAACATCTTGGGACAAAAATCAGTTACTTCTAAAGGATTTTAAATGCTCTGCACATGCAAAAAGTATCTGCAGTTCATTCGTTCCTAGTATTAGCCAGAGCAAAAATTAGTATTAAACTACATAAGATTCCATCATAGTGAGTGCTGGTTTATAGCTGGTTACTGAGGAACAAGTTCCAGGAAGCTCCAGAGATTCAAGAGGTCTTGTATTTGATGGCTATTCTTTCATCTCCAATTAAGCTCTCCTAATTTAAGGAATAAGCTCCCCTTCCTTCAACAATGAATTCCTAATGGAAGACAAAGGCAAAATTCTCCCTGTATCACTCATCATAACAAGCAGATGGAAAACTCAGTTAAGTATCTAATTTTTTTTTTCTTTTCCCAGAACCAAGTAAGTTAGCTTTTCAATACCAATAAATTTAAGTTTGGTGAATATTCAACTTCACCTTTTCACTTTCTACTAATCACCTGTGCCACAAAACTAACACTTGCTTTGCCTCTCATACAGTAGCTGTGAAAGAGAAACCAAGACAAGCCATCATGAATGTCAGTACCATGAACGCCGAAGAGTTTTGAAAATTCCCTGTTGATCAAAAGCCATACAGTTGTCACAACAGATTTAAAAAGACAAGTTATTAGGATTTAGTTTGTAATTTGATGGAAGAAGCTATGCAGAGTTTAGTTTAAACAAGTCATGCAACGGCTAAAAGGCATAGCAGAATTACTTCTAATGCTAACTCTAAAACCTTAGTATTTGCTTACAACTAAAGCAACAACAACATCTAAAAAGTTTTTCAAGAAGTTAATCTAGTTAATCCAAAAATGTATGTAAAAATCAAGCTACTAGCTTTTTTTCCCCTGAATTCACACAAATCCTATTTTAAGTTAATAATATTAACAGCTAATGAGGTACTAACTCTGCAATCTAAAGATAAAACTATCAGTTGAAAGCACTGCTCTTGTCAACTGCTCATTTCTTTGTCCAGTTCCATATGTTTATCTAACAGGTAACGGAGAGCATCTAGCATGTACATCTTGTGCATAAGCATTAAAGGAGGTAACTGGTAAAACATTAGGGTACAGATTGATTCCAAGTACCCTAACCATCACTGCTGACCAACATCACAGATTATGGAGAAGCTAAGAACAAACTGCCTTCAAATACCGATACTGCAGTCATTGCTGCAGCTTAAATAAGAAATAAAACCCAGACTTCACAAAGGGAGTGGAAGATATTAACCTTAGAACAAACGAAGTCAACTAGCGTGGCTTCTTCTTCACCAATATATTCTATTATTTTCTTGTTGATCCACGGTCTAATTCGACGTTCCATTAGCGTCTGGAAAGAAAAACCACCAAAACCTGAAATTTCCATAAACTTTACTGTCTTGAAACAATACTGCCAGATAGGCAGCCAGAAGACTCAAATGTTTAACTATTTAGCAGGAGATACGTTTTTGCTATCAATGAGAACCCTTGGCAATTTGGCATCTGCATGTATTTCTGACAGCCTTTCAATCATGTTTTTACAGGATCTTTTTTCTCCCTTCCATAAAACTACTAGACAATTTGTAGCAACAATTCGGGAGAGACGAAATAAAAATAAGCAGGCATACTTCAGAATAAAGTATTACATATGGATAAGAAATACAGCACTCAAGTTTGATTCCATTCAATGACGATGCTCCACCAATCCACTGGCGTCCCAGGAACATTGTTTTTCTATTCAATTCCAAGGTTTGTTGGGAAAAATAACACTTTTTTGTGAATGATTAAAAGAAATCAACTTACTGAATCCACAATTGACCAGTCAAGAGGATAAGCAAAGAGCTCTGGTTTTGCTGTGGGAATCTTCTCAATGAGACTCTTAATATGTTTGCGTTTTTCTTCTGTATTGACACTGCCTTTGATATTGCTTTTATCTTCTTCTCCATAATCCAGGGGGACAAGTTTCCTTTTGCGGGGCACATCATCACTGTCTTCGTCATCAAATTTATTGAAAACACTATCCACAGCAAGCTTCTTCCTTTTCACAGCATTGGGCTGATTAGGACTATTGCAGGCACCTACAACCCAAAAGACAGAATAACATGTTCATAAACTGCAACTGAAGCAAGACTGCTCTTCACATATTTCTTCGGGAGTATCAACTTGTATGTTATATAAACGTCTGTGAATGCCTAGCATCAGCGTTTTAATCTCTCAAATTCTGTTACAAAAATGGCAAGAGAGAGGAAGATCCCAAAAGGATTTTCTTCAAGATTTTTCTTTCTCTGCCCTGAAACCAAATTAGCACCCTCTCTGAGGGAGGACTATACCATGAGTTCAGACCTAAACAGAGGCAGAGCACAGAAGTGAAAGGTTGCAATGAATCCAGCTCTAGGAAAAGCATTAATAAGTTCGCCTAATACCACACAGTCGCTCTTCATTCAAGATCTAACACAGCATGAGATCAAAGTGCAGCCTCAGTATAATTTAATTGAAATAATAAATGTACAAACCTTCTGGAATACAAATATCCTTAGTTCTGCTGCTCAAAACAAATGTTTTTCAAAAACACCAAAAAATTGCAAAAGTACTAAGGAACTCTACACTCATGTTCCATTTACAATTGTCATCAATTCATTGTGCTACTCTATGAGGAAGAAAAAATAATCTAATTTTCAGTTTTCTTCTTTTAAAAGGGTCTTTGTGAATAAACGTAACAAGTATTTAGGGCTTAAATCTAACATATACTTACATCAATAAAAAGTAGCAACGAGTTTTAAAAGACATATTTAGAGATCTATTAAGGTGAAAAGGCATATGGAAATAACTAATCCCAGATCACAGCGTTCCTAAGAAAATTAAGCCTTGAGGATGCCAAAACTTTCCTCCCTTTTTCCCCTTCAGATTTTAGAAGAGGAGAGATCTAGCACTGCATCTGGATAACAACAATTCGATATAATTATGTAAAAACATACAACATATTTGGAAAACTGTGCATCTACCTAGCTTTGCATTTTTTTTTTTCATTCTAATCCCATATGAAACATTAAAATAAAACGTAAACTTGCCCAATTTGAGGCTAAGTCCTATTTTGGGCCGATGCTCCTCCGGCTGCTGTTGATCAGGTGAGTTTTCGTGAGGGATAATAATGCCACAGGGAGATTCATCGCCAGGTGTGTTAGGGGTTGCATTTCCACTAGCAGAAGAAACAGATGGGGCAGAACTGATGGGTCGTAAAGTTGGTTTAAGGCAGGGCTTTTGTTCAGGCTCCTCCTCTTCTTCCTCTGGCTCTTCTCTTTTTTCCTCTTTTTCTACCTTTTCTTCCTCTTCCTCCTCAGACTCTGGCTCTTGTTTTATTTGTGGCTGCCTACGTCGCTCAGCCTCTTGTTCCATCTACAACGAAACAGACAATAAGTGAAAAAAGAAGCTTTCTCAAAACCACCACTGTTCGAAAAGAATCTAAAGATCCTCTGTTTCCTAAAGAAGTCTCTGTCAGTCAAGAACAAATACATTGAACTACTGCCATTGTATTCAGAAACAGTGATTAATCCAAATTTGGTTTCAAACTCCATCCGAACATAGATCTGGAAAGTTATTTTTTGTTTGCAGTGTTCTCACTGCTTATCTGGACTTCTTTTTAATGAAAAGTGAACAGAGTAAATATTAACTATCAGATCTCTTACAAAATTTTGCTCAATACCACCGGAATACCAAGGGCTCTTTTTTTTCCTGTCAGACCAACAGCTACTTACCCTCTGGAGTTCTGCATCTGGATCTGGGTGTCCTTCTGCCAGAAGGCGCTGCCTAATTTCTTCTAATTCTTCCTTTTCCCTTTTCCTATCCCGTTCATCTGCTTCCATCTCTTTCTCCCTGTCTCGTAGCCTCTTCTGAAGAGCACTACCCCTACAAGAGATATGGATTTTGTACTTCAAAGAACATTTCAATGAGAACCTTGTACCGTGATACAAGATATACCTGATACAGGTGTATCTTCCACTAAATGAAAATAAGATTCCTAAGAGCATGTGTTGTCCTCCATTTTTGTAACAGAAGAATCTAAGACACCGGTTTCCAACATTATTATACAGAATTTCCCCCATCACATTAAAAAGATGTAGAAAATGTGACTGCCGACCTTCTCAAAAAAATAAATTTTATAAGTTTTTACTTGACAAAAACCAGTTCTGCTAAATTTTAGTTAGTCCCATGCTGAAGGATCTTCCCCATCCTTTACAGAGTTAACAAGCTTGTTCTTCGTACGATTTACAGCTTCCTTGATGTGAATTTTTTAGAGGCATGCTAGATCCCTTCTCCCTGCCTCCACCACCTTATTGTGGCATTACGCTGACCTCTGCTCTGCCTCAGGCACAAGTTAAGTGATAGGAAGAAGCAGCTATTCCCAAGCATTAACAAGTAGCAGTAAGGAGTTTCCCCTTTTCCCTCTGGCACTTATGAAGTGACATTGAAATAATTTAGATAATTATATGACCCTTACATTGCCACATAATCAGTCAAATATAAACTCCGTAAGTCTCTGCCAACAAGCCTCACAACTGCGTTATAATGAACGATGAAAATTTTGTTGTTCGGAATCAATACAAAGACATACCTGTAATATTTTGGATCATCTCTGTCATCATCATAATCTTCTAAGAATTCTTTTAACCGTTTAGCTTCTTTTGCCTGCCAAGAAATTGAAACATAAGTAATGTTATAAAATGATTTCTAGTTTTCTTTCCAAGAGTTTAAAATTTAATAATATTATTAGTAAGCTAATTTAATATCTACTATGCTTCAAACTAAAAACAAAAGAATTTTCCAGACAGAAAATGGAAAGGTTTTGGAATTGCATCATCTTGCAGGGATCTGTCAACTTGCTATCATATGTTCAATAGCAGATAGTACATCCATTGGGTCCACCGGGATCATGTCTCTGATTTGCAGACTGCTGTTCTGTTATTAACATTTCAAAGGGTTTTTAAATATAAATACCCCCTCCCTAAGTCTGGTACGGGATATTTTAACATGGCAGCTTAAGCGTATTTTATCAGTACTGTTTTGCTTCAAGAGCTGTGCTTTTTAAAAAATATTTAGTTATAGACACAAACAAATCTAATGAATACTTCTTGGATAAGTACTCTCCTGCTGTGTTATTAATACAAACCATGTGGCACTGTATTAATGCACGGGCCTAAAACTGAAGGAGGTGAGGGTGATGGAGAGGAGCTATTTTTTCCCCACTCGGATAAAGTGAAAAAGAAACAAAGGCAAAAATAAAGCAGTTAAGGAGAATATAAATGAGGACATTCTAACCTGTATCTAAGCAATATCATTAAACCAACAGTAAGATATTTTTAAGTTAATGACTTCAAGAAACAAATTATGATTATGCTTGTAAATTCAGCACAAAAATTTAACACTGCTCTCTACAACTGCCATCCACAGCCAGCATCCAGGAGGATCATAAGTAGAAAACATCCTTGAGTCAAACATTTTTCTTCCCTCTCAAGTATTTAGGGGGAAAAATTAGATTCCACATAAAACCATGTATTTTCTAATATTTTTTTCCTTTTTCTTTCCTGTGTCTCTGCATGTTTTGCTTTGAAGCAATTCCCAATCTATCTCCTACTTAGAACTCTCTCGTATCTTCTTCTCTGGAAGAATTATAGAGTTAAATAAAGTCACCGTAATTTAAAATTACTTCTTTATGCTTTAGCACAAAACTATGAGATTACAGAAGTATTTGTCTTCCAAAGGTGTCTTTTTGGACAAAGCTTCCAGGCATTACACTGATAACTGTGATAATTTCACAACTAATGAACTAAAGACAGAAATTTACGAAGTACTTAGATATACAGGATATTATATATTATGGAAGATTCAGGTACATGAGCAGGTTGGAAGTAAAAAGACTGGTCTAGTTCCACCTGCATGACATAGAACATATAGTAGGTTTTGCTAAAAATCTGACAAAAATGCAGGTTACAGATGTAATAGTGCATGATGATCAAACCACAGTATTTTGCAGCTGCCTACTTCTCATTCTTTCACCTTCACAAGACCAAACCACTAGGCTTTGTTTTCCAGACTCTCAATAGTACTCCTACTTACTAGACATCTTCTGTTTAAAGTCTCTTAATTTTTTCTTTTGTATAAAAATACACGTTGTTTATACAAAATGAGAGGTCTATCACTATCCATAAAGTCAGCAGTAGAATCTTTCATTCTAAACTGGATACAGAGAAGAAGGGGGGAAAATTACAAGTAAAACTATAAGATTTACCATTTCCCTTCTTCTTTCTTCTTCCCTTTCAGCCTCTTTTTCATATTCTCGACTTTTCTTCCGTTCTCTGATTTCCCAGTTTTTAAGACGCTACAACAGAAGAAAAAACACACCCTAATCTCAAGAACGCTAGGAACAGTGGTCTGTGTTGAAGTTGGTTTTAAACAATAATCCAAACTAACTGCAATAATATTAAGCAAATTATTTACTTATCATTTAAAACATCGGAATAAGAAGTCCAAAGTTGTTCTAACAGCAACTTACATGTTCTGCCCCAATTCATGAAGTCAAAGGATTTAAAATGTGTTTAGGAAAAGGAGAGGGAGAAGGAATGACTTATTCTATAGTAGAAGACATATTATCACCCCTCAAACAATTTTGTCTTTAAGGAACTTTAAAAATCCCAATCTACCTCTTGATATGCAGCTTCTTTTTCCCGCAATTTCCTCTCCAGTTTTCGGCGTTCATAGGCGTCTTCTTCATCTTCTTCTCGGTCTCTCTTCTTATCCTTCTCCCGTTCTCGTTCCCGCTCGCGTTCTCTTTCCCGTTCCCGCTCTCGCTCCCGCTCTCTTTCCCGCTCTCGTTCTCTTTCCCGTTCCCGCTCTCGTTCTCTTTCCCTATCTCTGCTTTTTTCTCTGAAGGAAGGAAAAAGTCCCAAGTTAAGTATAGAGCCTTCCTCTCCTCTCAAATGATTTAACTTCAAATGCATAATGCACTGTTTATAGCATCTTGTAAGTTATTCTTCTTCTGCAATCGTACAAGATTATTAGTTGATATAGCAACGGGCATAAATCAATACTTCCAATATATTCAAAAACCCATTTACCTAAAAGCAGTTGTTTGAGCAGTAACCATTAAATAGTGGTTAACTACCAAAACTGTGTGCGAGCACATAGCAGTTCCTACCAGATTGTGTTAGTAGTTCTCCGTAAATAAGTGACAGCTAAAACCCTCACAAATAAAGAGTATGTTTAATAAATCTTCCATGTTTACATGGCGTACAGACTACTTGAACCCTACTGACAAGATGCTATAAAGTGAAAGTTATTTTTTCTACGGTGTGGAGGGAAAAAGCATCATCTAGAGCCTGACATGATTAGTCATGGTTTAAAAGAAGAATCCCCTTGTTTTTATTTAAAAAACAAATAAAACAAACAAACAACCCACCCACGCACCCAACAAACAAACAAACCCAAACCAAACCAAACCCTGAAAAAAAACCAACCTGCATAACAAAGGAAAAGGTAAAACCTACTTAAGCTAAAATATACTGCAGACATAAGAGAATCTCAAGTAGGAATAAAGCTACCCATGACAAAATAAGAGAGAATTGAGATAAAACCAGTATGTTTAAGTCATGGTTGGGTGGTTGCTTACTGCACATTGCAGTCCTTATATTCTTGCACTGTGGAGGGAATCAAGTATTCTTTCAATTTGTGTAAATACAACATTTTCTAAAACTTTTGATTTCTTGTTTTTACTCTGATCTTCCAAAATCAATCTCTTTTGAATGACTGCTGATCTGCTGAACTATATGCATCTAGTAAACAGCAGTAGGAAAAGCTGAAATAAATAGCAACTCAAGTGCATTTACCGTGATCTGCTCCGATCTTTGTTGCGATCTGAACTCCTTTCACGATCTCTGTCACGATCTCGGTCTCGTTCGCGGTCTCTGTCCTTTGTCCGGTCACGATCCCTATCTCGCTCTCGTTCACGCTCCCGTTCCTTCTCCTTCTCTCGTTCACGCTCCCTCTCTCGTTCACGCTCCCTCCTTTCTCGTTCACGCTCCCGTTCCCTTTCTCTTTCTCTGCGTTCTTTTTCAATTTCCTGTCTTTCTTTCTCCTTTTTGCCTTTTTCCTCCTCCAGTTTCTAAAAACCAACAAGAGAACTTTCATAGTTAATTTTGTAGTTACAGGACCTGAATATTCCCGGCGCAACACACAAGGCTGGTAATGGAAATACCAAAACCGCCACTGATTTTAAAATATAGGGTTCAGTGGGTATTTTTTTGAACTCATAAGTATGAAATCAAAATGCAGCAATCACAAGACTAAGTTTCGTGCAAAAGCATAGATCTACACAGACCAGCAATCTCCAACCTTAGCAGAGCAGGGCTGGCCTCATATTATACGCTGACTAAACTGCACATACACAGTGCACTGCCAGTCATGATTCAGGTGGGCCACAAATTCCATTGGTCCTATAAGCCACTTCAGTACAAGCAAAGTGAATATCTAGCTCATAAAATTAATTCTGTTCAACTAAGAAAATACGTTTTAGTGGAATGCTTACTGGGACAGTGAGTTGTTTCCCAAAAAGCCTTGGCAGACCAAAACAGTCCTGTGTGAAAACTCGGGTAAAGAAATTTATCCACTTACACATGGTGCATGTGGTTAAACAGTGAAGAGAGCTGCAACCTTTCCCCTTTTCCCTCCCTAAAAAAGTTCTAACAGTTCATTGGTAAGAACCGGACTCTGCAGAATGGAATCCTTAACTTCCACCACTGCAAGACGGAGAGAGTTAAAAAAAAAGGTTGGAAATAGCTCTTTTGAAACACAGAAACTAAAGGGTTACCTGCTACAGTTTTACTAAAAATTGTACAAAATTGCCACTTTTTTTTCAATTAGAAACAGTTCCTATGACCAGAATTCCTATAAGACAATAGAAAATACATCAACAGAATGATAGATAAATCCATCCTTGGAAGCAATTGTTATGTTTTAACTTACAGATGCTGTGCTAGGACATGGACCGCCAACACTGGATTAACCTTGCCTATAAGCTATGTTTCTGGGAGGAAGAGCAAGTACACGGTTCACAAATATACCAAATAACAACCAAATATACCAAATTTCAACCTGATGGATGCCAGAATACCACTTTTTTGAACAAATATTGAGCAGATTAAACAGGTTTATCCCCTTTGTCTCCATGTTTACCATCACTGAAATGAAATTAAAAACTGGAACAATAAAACAGCATTTTCTCTAGTTTGTTTTTTTTTTCTTTTCTTTTCTTTTAAACAACGCATTTAAGACAACTTTAAAAAGCAATCTTACCTGATAAGTGTTCTTCTGTCATAGGCACGGGGACCAGAGAACCAACAAAGGATTACAGAAATAAAGCTAATTCACTAGTGATTAATGTATCCAGTGAAACTACACTGCATTGATAGCACAACACAGGCAAACCAATGTTGGATACATTGAAATCACAAAAGGAAAAAGGGACTAAAAATGGTAGGAATTGGTAGAAAACTGATATGAAAAAAACAAAACTTAGATTCTACAATATATACTGGGCTGAAACCAATTTCTGAAGGACTGCATTTTACAGGAGCTTGACAGTGTTAAACCTCAATATGGTCAGATGTTAAACTAGGCTGTCAACTTTTAAAAATCCAACTTACCTCAAATTTCATATAGTTTTAAAGAAAAGTTTACATACTGAAGTGGTTGATACTTACAGGTTATCTTAGATGTTCCAATAGAAATTTCTTTGGTTGAACTCCTGCTTTTTTGCCACTCAAAAACTTTGTTCGTGGCGAGAAAATGATTTCTCAAGAGTGTTTTTTTTTTTTTTAATATATTTAAATGTGTAAATATACACACAGAAGTCTCGGTGTATTAAAATCCATTTTGTAGGTCCACTTTCTTAAAATCCAATTAAAAAAAACTGGTCTATTTTATGATCAAAGTCTGACCTCATCAACTTCTATCAGCCTAAATAAGAGGATCTAAAAGGGTAATGGGATGGGAACGATATCAGATATATTGAAGTAATGAACAGAAATGAACAGGTAGAAGAATTATAAATCTTACCTTGAACTCTCTTCAGACTCGTCCGTGCTGTAAATGGACGCCCCCTGCAATGCTGATACCCTGACAGTCTGTGGTTATTGTTTTATAAACTCGTAACAAAAACATGCAAAGGTTCACTGTGCTCACTAGCCAGCTGCTAAAGATTCAACAGCCCCTTTTAAACATATCCAATATACACAATGACTACTTTCAGTTGATTTTTAATGTTAAGAAACCCAAAATAGCCCCCCAATAATATAGATTAAAGGCAGTAAAATGCCTGACAGCTTCAGAAACAGAGAAGCATGTATGTTTGTTTGTTTTGTTGGCTGTTTTTTTAAAAAACATTACTTGTTTGCATCTTAGCACCAGTGACGACTTGGGGCTTGGAATTGAACACAATTCTACTGAAGTTTCACCACTGACCAGTTTCACGTTCAATTGCTGAGCTTCTCCAGATGATTTCTTCTAGAATTTTTCCCCAGGTTTTTATCTCCAACAACTTCAGTCAAGAGAAAAACTATGTATGTGTACATACAACAACGTGTAGTCACTTGTGTTTACACAGATACAGTTGTGTGAAAACATGGTACCATCCCCAGTGACTGCATGTGGTAAAGCTGAATAACACGGGCATACTTCACCTTGCTGTACCTTCAACGTTTCCTTTAACATTGATTGGGGGTATTTTGAAATAAGAATGTGTGCTCAAAAGAGGAGCTTGCTGATACTTCCCTAGGCCAAGGACCACTCCAGTCTTGTTGGGGAAAAAATAATACCAACTTTAAGCTTAACATTTAAATAAGAACATTACATGCATAGTTGTGCTTTACCATCCGCAAGTATCATTTTCCAAAGCAGAAACATTCACAGATGCACTAGCATTAGTGGAAACTTCTGTAAGTGGAAACCCTGAGGTGGGACTTGATGTGCACAAATGTTTTCAAGCCAGTTACCCCTTTGCATATTTTTCTGAGGGGGCATCCATAAGTATAATAAAAAACAGAAGCTCATACTTACATCCTATTCCATGTTACTTTCCAAGCTGTGAGTTTCATCTTGCATTAGTCACCATATGATCTCTATCATAATGGTGGGGGTCAATGAATAGATTAGCTTTATGGGAATTTACAGTTCTTCCATGCATCTAAAGTTTGGTAAGTCTGGTAACCACTGACCTAGTTTTAAATCTTCCCCCACTCTTAACTTAGAACTATTAAAATAAAAGACTTAAATTTAATTCAACTCTTCATAAAAATCTTGGATTATGTTACAAATCTACCTACAGAAACACACTCAAGTGTATGTCTTATACTGCAGCCCCATTAGCCTTTAGTTATAAATATCTTGACTTAATGTATGTGTAGAAACTTAAGTTGCCTTTATTCATGTTAAAGTGAGAAGACTGCAAAATACTCAGAAGCAATCAAAGTCTTAGCATAAAGATGTCAAGGGCCACTTTAACGTGGTAGTTGTCTTTTTTTGACTTGTAAAGAACTACATGTATATTAAACCTAATATAAGCATCATTTTAAGTGATATTGCAATGTAATGCTAAATTTTATAATAGTGGTTTTTTGGATTTTGAAAAAGCCTAATTTGTATCAAGTGCAAAAACAAGAATACTACCTTGTGTGTGTCTCTGAATTTACTGATCTCTCTTGATATCAGGTCTCTTTTGTCTTCCTCCATTTCTATAGCATTTATATCCTCCTAAAAAACAAGGGGGACAGGAGGAAAAGCATTAAGAGCCATCTGTACAGACATAGGGGAACAAGAAAAAAGCTGAAGGTTAGAAGTTTTCAACCAGTCTTGCAAGAGATAAATAAAGTCCTTCTGCAGTACCAAACCTGACAGTCTGATGTTAATGAGTGAAAAAAAAAAAAAAATCAGATGGACAAGAGTCACAAATCTGGCAACTAGCAGTAAACATAGTCATTGTCAAAGCCTACAATGTAAACGAACCTTGGTGATGAGTGGATAAGGTATCAGTGGGGCCACTGGAAATCTGCGGAAAATCTGCGGAAAAATCCACGGAGATTTTTTTTTTTAAAAATAGATTGCACACTACTCTGAAAAACAATGTTTTGTATGTTTGTACTATAAAGCAATATTGTATTGCTGTGATCTCATTTCTTTGACTCAACAAAATTACAGAAGAACCTCGCTAATTCTCCCTTCTCTGAACTACTTAAAATACATAGTGAAGTCTCATATTAGTAAGACTTCACTGAATTACAAGTATACTACAGGATATTAGTACGCTACGGTAGCAGCATAAACAAGACTAAGCTAAACTTGTCAATAGAAACGATCAGTACATTTGTGGTGGGTATGTCTTGATTTTATTTACTCGCTAATTCGCAAAATTTGGTAGATTGCACCTACTAATAGTTAGTGCGAATTAGCGAGGTTCCCCCGTGCTTGAAATTGAAAACCAGATTCCACTCACTCTCAGCTCCCCACACACATTTTCAGCTCCCCCACATCAGTCATGCCTTCATCCAGAAGAACTAACAACAGACTCTGCTGCTAACACCAGCGGGAGTCTTCTTGACACCAAGCCCTTCAGGGGACAACAGCCTGAAAGCTGGCAAGCTTCCCCACTCCCCCCACATATATCTGCATCCATCTTCCCTTTCCCTCCCACCATCCACAGTCCTTCTCTCCACTCTCCTTTAAGGACAAGAGAGCAATGAGCTAGGACCATCTCTTCACTCCCACGTCTATCCACAAAGGCCAAAGATGGCAACTTCCAAGTTTCTTTTCCTCCTTCCCAGTATGGGAGGGATGATGGGGCGTAATTTCAACCCACAAGTGCTATGTATTTAAAAAGAGCTTATTTGTCTACTTGACTAGCTCAGATTGATCAAATTCTACATCATACAGAGCTAGCAGAACATCCCTCTGTCCCAAGGACATACTCAGCACCCAGCTCTTCCAAGACTGCAATGGTCTCTTACAATGTTCAACTACCTGGCCTCATTCATGGCCATATATATGTACCCACAGGACAATACACATTATAACAATGCTTGTAACAAAAAATACAGCTGATAGCATTAAACAGTGACTCATTTGTAAATTCTCATCCAAGAAAGCATCTTCTCCCAAAGGGAGGGAGAGGAAAGAAAAACAAATTCTCAGCTCAGCACTCTTATACCTCAGGTCAGCCATGGCTAACAATGTTGTGGGGAAGATACACTCCCTCCCTGAGGGAGATGTTGCTTCTTGCACCACATTTAAGCCCCATAAGCCTTTGAAACTGCATTATTGCCTTGGAATAAGTACTTTGCAGAAGACTTAAGTGGGTAAAAATCTTGGTCAAACAATTTTCCAATCTCTTTCATATCAGGTGCAGAATGGTAGGTGTGAAAGCCCATTTTCCCGTTAGAAACTTGGCTGAAAAAGCTAAGTCTGAGTTTGCTCATTCTTATTCCCCCTTCTCCAGTTTGTTTTATTCCATAAAAAAACGTCAACCACAGAAGCAGGTCTAA